GCTCATAATATCTGCTCCATAATTAAAAGCCCAACCTAACTCGAAAAGCCCACAATTGGCCCAGCTTAAAATTAGGGTTTCAATGTCTTGAGCCTCCCTTATATTCATTAGCCGGAAAATTTTGCCACTTCCTTCTATCTAGGTTTAGCGCCAAGAGAAAGCAATCATGCCGGCGAAACAGAGGACGGTGAAGGTCAGCCGTAACCCTGATCTGATCAGGGGAGTTGGTAAATACTCGAGGTCGCAGATGTACCATAAGAGAGGTTTATGGGCTATCAAGGCCAAAAATGGCGGCGTTTTCCCTCGTCACGACGCTAAATCGAAGGTTGATTCTCCGGCGGAGAAGCCACCGAAGTTTTATCCAGCTGAAGATGTGAAGAAACCTCTCGCCAATAGGCGTAAGCCAAAACCTACCAAGCTCAGGTACTTTATAAAAACTCATTTCGACTGATATTTTAGCTCGATGTGATTGTCTTCTCTGTGTTTTTTGTTGATTCTTTTGAATCTGCCGGAGGAATCGATTAGTTTCAGTGTCATCGTTGTTAGGATTTTTGTAACAATAGTGGAAATGCAGTGTTTATGAATTATGATGATTACTATGTTCTTATGTACCATCTTTTTGTTTGTGAAGTTATTTTGCGTTTCTCAAATGTTCTTGATTTCTGTGAAAGATTGTCTGATTTGATCATCATGTCTGTATTGCAGATCAAGCATTACTCCAGGGACAGTGCTGATTATTCTTGCTGGTAGGTTCAAGGGAAAGAGAGTTGTCTTTCTTAAGCAGCTTCCCTCTGGTTTGCTTCTTGTGACTGGTGAGTTCTTCTCTATTTGTTCTTATGTTCTTTGTCATCTTCTTCGATCCATTTGAAGCGTTCACTACTTTTGTCACATGACATGTTCCTGTTTTTGTTATTGACCTTCAGGACCGTTCAAGATTAATGGTGTTCCTTTGAGACGTGTTAACCAGTCCTACGTGATCGGCACTTGTACAAAAGTTGACATTTCTGGAGTCAGCCTCGATAAATTCGATGATAAATATTTCGGAAAGGTTGCTG